CCGGCCACTAGAGATCTGAGTTCCAATCGCTTCCTCGGCTCCATCCCTGCTGCTCTTGGCGCTCTTCTTGACTTGAAGTATCTGTGAGTATTCCCAGCAATCGTACAGTTGCTACGGTACCTTTCTCCGCTCGAGCATGCCATTGAGCACTCTTCAGCCTTCTTCTAGTTTTCGATGTGACCAGGTGTCATTTTTAGTGAACCTAAGAGTGGAAGAAAGGGGTAATTCGGTGCTCAATAAGGGCATCTAGTTACATTGTACATCTGAGTCCAACAACCAAGTGCAAGAAAAAGAGATTATGCTGCTTCTTGCGAATTTGGTGTACGAAGGAGAATTCACGATTTGCTGCTCCTAGTTCAAGGGAGGTATGGAATGATTTGCTGATGGCGTTCTACTGTGTATCCCCAAAACAGGTTCCTTGACAACAACAATTTGTCTGGAACCATTCCCAATTCGCTTATGGATCTCCTCAACTTAAAGAGCATGTATGCATTTTGCGATTTTTTAAATAGTCAAAGAGAATCCTTTACAGTATGGCATACTTTTCTCTTGGACTCACTTGTTTGTACTTCTGCATGGTCGTCCTTATACGCTTGCTTGTCTCAACAGGTCCCTTGGCAACAATGAATTGAGTGGCACCATCCCCACGCTGATTACAACTCTTTGGCAACTTTCATCCTTGTGAGTACACATGAGCATAGGGCCGTTACACTTACAGGGCCGACCTTTTCGTCTTGGCCGGTCTTCAAGAGAGGAAGACGAGCCAGGCCCACCCTTCCAGGACGACAGGAAGACAGACGAGCCTGGCTCGTATAGGAGAGGTTTGGGAAGTCCATAAGGTTTCACTTCACTGACACTACTCCAGTCTTGCTTAATCTTCGATTCAATGTGCCTTTCTTACGTTGCTGCCAACCCACAACACGATTCTTTATCGTTTATGTGGCACTCGTAATTGTGCACGTGCTGCCAGTAAAGTGTCTCACAACAAGCTCAGCGGGTCCATTCCCACCACCATGCAAAGCCTTTCTAGACTTCAAATCCTGTGAGTCACATGAATCACAACTTGATGAGTGTAAAGTAGGTTTGTTCTTTTGCTCTGTTAACAAGGACAGAGTTATGATACAAATTTTTCCGTGACAACAATCCAGGGGCTTACTATGCATTTCACAAAGCTCGATGCTTGTTTTTTATTCAGACGATTTGTGCAGATGACATTCAGGTCAATATAGTTCCAACTTCTGGACCAAGACCTCTCAATCTGGTCTCTATGCTCCATGCAATCTCCATCCACACACGTCCACGTGGGCAGGCACATGAACGATAACCTACTGTCTGGGAGTATTCCAGGCATCGTCAACCTGCCTGATCTGATCGAACTATATGTCCACGTCTGTGCAATGAAAGGGTGCCTACCGAAATGCATTCTGTCTGGTTGGATGATCACGGTGCTGCAATAATAGGAACCGAGGGAAACACAATACATGATAGTGCCCAGATTCCTAGGATGGCAACAGTTCTGTGACAGTTTTTTTCAAACAAACTACAGGATGTGTTGGGACTTGCTACACTGCACCATCCATGCAGATTCAGAGAGGCTATGAGCTGGACTTTTGTCCCTGTTATGTAGTTGGTCTCCTCAAAACATGATACTACCTGGTTGGTTGCATCAGGGTTGTTGCCAACAACATGCTTAATGGCTCCATTCCTGAGTTCCTCTATCAGATGTCTGCACGCACCAGCATGTAAGTGACTTCGGTACCAATCTGCGTCTCCCTGTCTCAATGAGTGGTGCAGCATCCTCTTCGCTCTGTGTCTGCTGATTGTGTCCCTGCCTGATCGTCTTCCCCTCATCAAAATCTGCCGTTTTAAGTTGCTCCTTAAGTTGCTCAGTCTGGCGTACAACCATTCGTACATCGTACGGGCTCACCCCCAAGCATTCATGTGTGGCATACAATCCTTTGTAGAGCCTCCTGCATCGCATGGGCTCACCCCTAAGCATTCATGTGTGGTGCTCCATATGGGGTGGGCAGGGTGTTGAGTGGGAATCAGCTGAGCGGCTCCATCCCATCCTCCATCGCCCATGCTAGTCACCTGCAACGATTGTGAGTTTTTCCGTGATGCACGTTCATTCCCGTTACGAAGCAATGGGTTGGCCGTCGGCTATGGAGGCGAGGCACATATTCACTGAAAGGTTGAAACAACCAATTGAGTAGGATTCACGTGAGGTGCTCAAAAGTCTGGTCCACAAGCCCTGCTCGAGTGTTTGATATACACCTACCTAGGAATCTGTGCTTCAAACGACACATGTAAATCGCTTGATTGCTAATACTTTACACTCAACAACCTGCAAGGTATTCAGTTACGAGTGACACATGCGTCCTGCACCCAAATGGACTGTTGCCCATCACAAACATTTCTTTTATTGCTACTGCATGGTATAGGTGCTGTATAAGGCTTCAATTCCCCGTTTTGAGCAAGCCAATATCGTTTCAGAGGTGCCCATATTGTCCTGCACATTCTTGTGCCTAACGATGGGGCTAGCAGCATCCAACTAGGCTTATTCCTCTGTGTTTCAGGTGGTTGGACAATAATCTATTAAGTGGATCTTTACCCGACACGTTCAAGGCTCTATGGAAGCTTACCTCCTTGTAAAACGATTCGCCTTTCTTTGTTGCACGTTTTCTGCGATGTTGCGTCTCTAGTAGCTTCCGGAGTGTTCATGATTCCAGCTTACTTGAAACAGTTCCATGGCACTGAAGCTGCTTGCTCTTCCATGGGTGGGGCGGGACCTGCGGTACTTCCTTCAGTTAGTTGTTCCATTTGGGTTTTCCATACCGCCTGCCTGTTACTCACTCTGCAGGAGAGTCAACGCTACGAGCCTCAGTGGAACGCTGCCAAGCTTGCTTGGAAGCTTAACTTCGCTCAACTCACTGTATGTGGCACACCAGGGAACCACAGCATGGTCCCGCATCGCAAGTGCCTGTCCATGCATGGCGTGTGTGTGCTGAGCCTGTGGGTTTAGTTTGGACTTTAAATGAAGAGGATCACACTTCTGGTAGAAGCTTTTCTCTCAAAGATGCCAGACGGCTTTTGATATATTGGTGAAAATTCTGTAATATATCTCATCAAACCAATGATCTAGCCTCACCAATTTTAATCGAGGGTACGCCCACGCGAGAACGAAAGTTCTCCTGCACAAACACCTTCGGGCTGCAAATTGGGTGGACAAGTAATAAATCATTGCCCACCCATGTTGAGTGTGGGCCCTTGCTTTAAGAGCATTGTCATGGTTTCCGAGCTCCCCTCTCTTCTCTTCTCCCCCGCACCAGCAACATAAGCGGCAGCGGCCTCACGTGTCCTGCAGACCACACCAGCTGTGGTCCCTCCCAATCGCTCAACTCATCATTCTGCCAGACGTGTGCCTCCTTCTGCCAAACCTGCGACACGCCAGCCAGTGAGAAGATGATGAGGGCTGGGCATGGGGTGGAGCTGGGCATGGGGTGGAGCTAGGCATGGGGGAGAGCTGGGAATGGGGTAGGTTTGGGCATGGGGGATGCTTACTTCTTGAGGTGCCTCAAAAGAAAAGATGAGGGATGCAAAGCATGGATGTTCCGAGTGCTGCATTTCAATTTAGCACTTGCTTCTAATCGTCGACAGGGTATTAGCACGCGGTTTTCCTGAAATCGAGAGCCTGCCCTCCTTAACCAATTATGCCCTTTTCAATCTATGAACATCTGATTTTATTTGGCTTTGGTGTGCACCTCCTTGCCCTGCGGTTTCGAGGTGACTTTTGAGTCGACTCAGACAACTTGAACTGGTTTATGATTTTGTGCCCATGTAAAAACAGCTACTAGCAGCAGCAGCAGTGCTGACATCAGCAGCGGAAATTTCTCTTCAGAAGTATCTGGAGGTGGAGGGGGTGTATCAAAGGGAGCCATCATTGGCATTGCTGCTGTTGCAGTCGTCATTCTCCTCCTGCTTCTGGCTGCCGTTGTGCTCTTCGTCAGACGCAAGAGGCAGCAGGGACCAGCAGGTAAGTAGGTGCAAAGCGGTTACTGATTTTTCTCAACTCAAATGACTCCTTGACAGGTTGTTCACATTTAGACATTGCCTGTGGCCCTTCTGCAGCAATGGTTGGTGTGCTGTCAAGCAGTGAGGACTAAAATCTACTCCCCGCTTGTAGCCTAGAAATGCAGCAAAGCCTGCCAGATCAAACGTTAGCCAGAACTATGATACGCATACACACATATTTGCACATGATATAAAAAAGACCCTTTCTCTGTGTGTGAGTTTACGCTGCCCTTCACCTCACCCTTTTTCCTTCAACCTACGGCCAGGCCTGGGGCCCAGTCTGGCAGCGTCGCGCTGCACGGAGTTCTCGCTAAAGGAGGTCCTCAAGGCCACCAACGACTGGTCGCAGGACAACCTGCTTGGCTCGGGTGCCTTTGGTGATGTCTACAAGGGCGTCTCTCCACGCAATGGCACCACAGAATGGGCTGTCAAGCGCGCCAAGCTCATGGATTCGGACTTCCAGAGAGAGGTGAGTGAGCCATGCCATGTATGGAGCGTTAGAAGATGAGCAAGAATTAGTTTCGTTATGGTGAAAGTCACTCGGCGTTAGATGGAAACGGTGTACGGTTGAGGAGAATGGAAGCAAACCATATTGGACAGGCCTTCAATGTTCAAGTTGGCAAAGTGGTTGGATTCTGAATTGAATCTAATTCGGTATGGTTGGAATAACACTTCTACACCACACATAAAATATGATACACTATGCAATATGATAGAGGCATAGATTGTTGCTTCCGACACCACTCATAGGCTGCAACATATGAACCTTAAAGGTAAAGGTCAATCAAGCAATGGCAGACGGTGGGACAAGTGACTTGGTAACAAGGTAAGCAAGGTTGTAGCCGTATCCAGCATGCTTTGCTTCACGCTCTGCTCTGGGCTCGTGCTCTTGCTGCTTCCTTGTGTTTTCTTTGCCACAGGTTCAGCAAATGGCCAACAAGAACCATCCCAACATCGTGCGCCTGCTTGGATTCGCAGTGGGAGGGGACTTGAGAACACGACCAGAGCACATCTTGATCTACGAGTTTGTGCCCAACGGTGACCTTCACAAGTGGATCGATCCAGGTATGTACGACGCTCTTTCCTACCAGGACCATTGTAGTCTGTGCAACACAGTATTGGCCCAAACACACGATTCTTCTTGTAATGCACTGTAACTCTTGCTGAGAACCTTGCAGAGGCACCATCTCCTCTGAGTCTGCAGCAGCGGCTGGACATTCTCATTGGTGCTGCACGCGGTTTCAAGTATCTCCACAGCTTTGGCGTTGTGCATCGCGACATCAAACCCGCCAACATCCTCATCACCAACCACATCCATGCAAGCTCTCGTCAGGCACACGCACACGCACATGCACACGCACACGCACATGCACATGCACACGCACACGCACATGCACATGCAAATGCACATGCACATGCTAAAAATGGGCAGATGCGTGCTGCAAGCAAGAATCACATACGGTTCATTTCTCTATTGTCCATTGATGCCCAACAAATACAAGACGCATGAAATTTGAACACTACATATGTGGTAAACTTTGGTGTTGCTCGTTCTGCTATGGCCCTACCTACCACCTACCAGACAAAGATTGCAGACTTTGGGCTTCTGAAGGAGGGAGAGGACACAGCTGTTGGAGAGGGTACCACTGTGGGAGAGGGCACCACTGCGGGAAAGGGCATCACACAAGTGATGGGAACACCAGGCTATGTGGATCCCGTCTACTCCAAGACGTCACAGGCAACCACCGCCAGTGATGTCTACAGGTGACATAGTTGCAGTATCAGAGAGATGTGCCTTCATTTGGGGGCTCTTCCTTCATACTCTCTCTCTTTCCCTTCATGGTTGCTGTTTCTGCTGCATGCCCCGCTGCATGCGTTGCTGCATGCCCCGCTGCATGCGTTGCTGCATGCCCTGCTGCTTGCGCTACTGCATGCCCTGCTGCATGCCCATCATGGCACTCGCATGGCACGCATCAGTCATTTCAGAATTGACTTTCATATTGCCTCCATGGTATCCTGACCTTTACGCCCCTCCCTCCCTTCTCTCTGCAGCTTTGGGGTGCTCATGCTTGTGGTGCTCACTGGACGCCCTCCATTCTCGGAGTTTGCTGGGGAGACCAAACACATCCTCCCGATTGTAAGTACCAATGCCAGCTGCTCGGCTAAAGAGGTCTGTGCAGTTGTAACATGCTAAAGTAACCACTAAGCCTCCCCATGCATTGAAGTATGATCGAGTTGCTTCTGCTCACTACAGCACATCTCCACTCCGAGACTCCTCTATTCAACCCACTCCTTTCTCGCGCTCCCCTAGATAGCCTATTGTCTAACAAACAGACGCCACACCGAGCCTCAAATAGCCCAACATGACCCATCATTCGTCACCGGTTAATGCTTTTATCCCCAACCATCTGCACCCCTTCGGGCGTCTGAGTGCCTCGTCTCGGGTGACTCAGAGAGCCTCAGGGACCCGCGCATGGACACCTCTCCTAAGGATGCGGTGCTGCGCGTGGCTGAGTTGGCAGTGAGCTGCACCGTGGAGCGCACGGCAAGCCGCCCAAGCATGGCGCACATTGCCACCCAGCTGCAGGCTGTCAGGGAGGAGGTGGCGGGGAAAGAGGAGCTGGGTGCAGCGACTAAGGTTGATGCGCAGGTGCAGGAGATGAAGAATGCAGTTGCCAACGTGCTAAGCCTGGATGCAGAGATTGACCTCATCGCTCAGCAGTTTTCTTGACAACCAGTTTCCATTCCACCAAGGCTCGGCTCGACTCTCGATGGGTACCAGTTCGTCTTGTTGCCCCTAATGTACGGTAGTACTGTAACACTTGGTTGAATCTTAGAGCTTCACGTTGTGTGCAGCAGCTGCTGTACCCTTTATCCGTACCATATCCTTTTTCCGGACAGGGTGGATTGCCTGTCTGTCTCCGACCGTAGGTTCCTGCTGGTTTCTGGAAATAAGAGGCCTGGTGTTGCCTTGTTTGGCCTGATCTGTTCTGGTCTGGGGTCTGGTTTGCTGGCCTGGTCTGGCCTGGAAGTGTAGTATGCTTGGGAGCAGTGAATGAAGTTTTCAATCGCATTGAAATGCGAAAAATTTCTTCCCCTTTGCCGTGAGGGCTACACACCAGGGCTCAAAATTGGTCATTGGCCGCCCTGTCAAATCAGGGTGCCAGCCAGGGTCTACCCTGACTGGTAGGGTAAATACATCGTTAGCCTGACAAATACAAGGTAAAAAAACAAATAGTCTGTTTGTGGGTATTTTGGTACCTAGTTTCGTACTTTTAAGAAACACTTGGTGCCTTAGCAGGTACATTTACGACTTGGAATCGTACGATCGCATGTTCTATTCTCGCTGTCGAGGGTATCTTGCGGGGACTCGTCTCGTGTTTTGTATCGCTACAGAGCATCTAGTAACAATATAATTGTAATCGTACCTTGTACTGTCAGAAAATCAAAATTCATCTTATGCTGTATTTGAAAGGGTAAGAAAGAACTTACACTTTCTGGCCTAGGGTTAAAATCCATTACCCTTCCTGGGAAAGGGTAACTGAAAAAAAAACGGCCGTCAGAAAGGGCAAAAAGGGCGTTTTACCCTGCGGTCTACATATTTCGAGCAGAAGGCAAAAGTTTATTACTTGAAAACAGGGTAACCCTTCCTTCACAAGTACCCCTCCGCGGAGAAACGAACAATCGTGGCGGAAGGTTTTGGGAGGGGGGTGGGGGGTTCCCAAAATTAACAGCAAGAACGGTTCCACGAGTTAGAGCTTGATCCACTTCGAGGGTGAGCTTGCACATCAAAAGTCTGGCGACCACAAGAGCACAACCTCATAGACAACTTCCCTCACGTAGTGGTTGGACTCGCCATCCTTGTTCGACTTCATCGCACTGGTGATTGAGGGAAACATTCACTTCAATCCAATGAACACACGCCAAAGGGTTAGCACTACAAATGCCCCCAAAAAACCCCTTGACAAATGTAGACCGTTGCTTTAAAGGGTGTTCCTTGGGAGGCCCAGGGTGGCGATTTAAATATAATCTACAGGAATTACCACGTCTACCTAGGTTCTTACATCTTCAACGCTTGTTACGCTACTTGGGGCACATGTTTCTATCAAAATTACAACTCGTCATAGAGCTGTTATTTGGCCACAAAACACATACCAATATTGGCTAGACACAGCCAAGCAAAACACTCAAGTCAATATGCACAAATACACAAACAGCACACAAGACGTATGCGTATACACATAAATGACCAACACAGCTACACACCTGCACACGAACCCACACTATGCACACACCGCAACCGAAACAACATCCTTACTACCACCATGCATCTGTGTGTACCATCCACACCCCTGCTGCTACTGAACAGCCTAGAACCATCCTGAACCGCCTCAAATGGCGCCCACTTTAAACGGCATCGACCATATTACTGCACTGTTGCTTCTCCGTGTCACAGCATGCGTGGCACGGCAGTGACAGGAGCATGGCCTGACCAAAAGGTCGACAACGACTTTTGGGACCTGTCACAGTACGCCGTCTCAAACTGATCCTTCTCTCCGTCTGTATCACAGCACGCGCAGCACAGCAGTGACAGCAGCATGGTCCGACAGGTCGTAGTCTGATGGCCACATGCCCTGTTGCATCTCAGGGGGAAACAACTCAACCGGTTGTACTGGCAGCTCCGCGTTTCAAAACCACTCTCAACCTCGTGCTACTGCTGCTGTTGCTTGGGGTTCTACCTACACTCTTCACAGTCCACACGGTCACAGGCACAGCTCCTGCACTCCTCCCGTTGGCTTGTCGTCTCGCCAATGGCAGCAGTAGCAGCAGTGGCAGCGACTGTAATAGCAGAGGCGGCAGCAACAGCGCCTGCTGCCAGCACCATGGGCCCATAACGTCCCAGCGACATGGGAAACAAGGACGACACCTTCAACACTGGCTGCTCTGGCATTCCAAAGGGTGCTGCAACATTACCAGGGGAAAGGGTACGACCAGCAGCAATGCGAGCTGAGCCGTGGAAGAGAGTGTCCATCTTTATGGCTTGCTGCAATGCCTGCAAGCCTCGCTTTAATGGACACCTTCTCTCATGCTGCTGCAGCAGCAGTGGCTGCTGCTCCTCCACAGCTTCATCAAACGGCCCCTGCAAATCCTGCTGCTCTTGCCACATCCGCCAAACCTCCTGCCTCGGCTGCTGCTGCTCCTGCTGCTCCCATTCCTGCTGCTGCTGCTGCTGCTGCCTGGGCCGAGGCCACGGCTGCTCATGAATCCCAGTCGCCTTGCAGATGCGGGCGAAGGTATCCTTCATGGACTCGGTGCGCAGCAGCAGCTTGAACGCCTTGTAGTCCACCGGCCCGCTCCCCCTCGTGTCCGCCCGCTGCACCAATTCACGAATCTCCTCCCTCGTCAGCCCCACAATGTCCTTGCCGGCCCAGCTGAGGCAATGAGACGGAGTGGGAGGGGTGCGGGAAGGTGGCAGGGAAAAGAGGGAGGGGGTGGAGAGGGGGGGAGGACGAGGAGAAGGTTAAGGATGGTGATAGGGAGAGGTAGGGTCGGGAGCTAGGAGTTGGGGACGGTTAATGGGATGGCAAAAGGGGGTACGGAAGATGGAGTGGAAAATGGAGCACAGACAGACAGGCTGTCACGCAGCTCACCTCGTCCATGGCGTATGCAAATTCCTCTGGGGTGATACAGTCATGGCGATTCTGCTCCCCATGCTGCTGCTGCTGCTGGCCGACTGAGTGCGTGGCAGCTGACTAAAAGAACTCAAACGCCTGCCGCTCCTCTGTTATCCCCGCCTCTATCAGCTTCGCCTGGAGAGAACAGGAAAGGAAGGAGGTAGCTAGATGGTTAGCTGATTTGTGAGGAGCGTAAGGGTCGAAAGGTATAGGTGGGTATGGAGTGAGGAGTGGTGGGTGAAACGAGAGTTTATCAAGCACACACTTGCACACGCACACACACACACACACACACACACACAACCGCACACGCACATACTCACACATGCACACGCACAAGCGCACCTTGATCATGCGAAAGACAGAGGCCTTCCAGTCGGCGGTGAGCGGGCCATGGAGCTGCTGGGAGGGGTTGAGCATCCACACGAAGTCCACCCCCACCTCCTTGCCCGTGGTTGCGGTGTGACACCCACTGCAATCACACGAAAATACACGCGCACACAGACACAAGGAGAGCTGAGAAGATTCTGGTGTGAGGCATACTGCACTGCAAGACCCCCACCTCCTCGCCCCAGTGGTTGCGGTGGGACACCCACTGCACTCACGAGAACCCACGCGCACATAGATAGACAGACAGACACGTGGCGAGACCATAAGACTTAGGTGCGAGGCATACTGCGCTGCAAGTCCAATACAGGACCAAAATAAGAGAGTATGATATTGGTTGCAGAGGGGAGCCGTGGGTTTGCATGCAAGACAGCGGCAGCAGCAGAAGTAGCAGCAGCATGTACATTAGTATCGGTGTCGTCACACCTCTGCACGCTGTCATAGCATGTCACAAAGCCCTGCGACTGCAGGAAGCGACACCCCTCGCCGTCCAAAGGGCTGTTCAGGTCTCTGCAAGGGGGGAAGAGATCGACGCATGCAACACACACACACGGTCAGGGAGGTTGAGTGATCAGATTTATCAAGCAAGAAAATGAACTGTTATATTGTTTCAGACTCGTACTATTTCCTTCCCCATTGCAAACAAACAGAAGGCATTGCGCAAAGATCAGGATGCGCAGACATTCATCACGCGCTTCAAACAAACCCAAAAGTGTGTCGGCAAAACGGTCCTGGCTGGCTTACCCGGCGAGCAGGATGGGCAGCGCGTGCACGTGGTGCGCGTGCTTGTAGGCATCCACGTATTCAAGGATCTTGTACACCTCGCGCAGCTGAATCACACTCAAGTTGGCGTTGTGCGGGAACAACAGGTGCGTGTTTATCACCAGCACTTCGTGCTGCTGCCCTGCTTCCGCTGCTGCAGCATCAGCTGCTGCAGCATCAGCTGCTGCTGCTGCTGCTGTATCTGCCGACACACCATCATCACCGCGGCCGTTCTCCACTGCCTGTCCCTCCCCCTCCCGGCGCTCCCCCTCCCACGTGCCCGTGAAGCGCAAGCGCAGCAGCTGCGCCACGCGGTCGCCGCAGTCGTGGAACAAGACCGGCTCATAGTCCACCACGCTCACCACCTCCCTTCCCGCAGCCGCCGCCGCTTCCGCCGCATTTCCCGTGCCGGCGCCGGCTCAAGCGCTGGCGCTCGTGCAGACGGCGGTGAGCAGTCCGTCGCCGCGGGTGTTGGTGCAGGGCAGCTTGTAAAGCGAGCCGTTGCCTGCAGGTGCGACTCGTACATTCTCTCGAGGTCGCCGCCGTCGAACCAGAACTCTTGCAGGCACACCACGGACGACTGCAATGACAGCAGCAGGTCCACTATGTGACGGTTGCGATGGGATGGATTGGGATGTGACGGGATGGGATGAGAAGGGTTCCTATGCCTCGTCACCCTTGTGCCTTTTTGCGCATGAAGGTGGTGCACCCGCAGCACGTGGGGTTCCTGTGGCTGTACCCGGCGCCCTCCAAGTCCGTCGTGGACCCGCTGTATGTGGGCGAGATGCGCAAGATGCTCTCGTTCCTCAATCGCACTGGTGAAAGAGAAAGAGGATGGCGGCTCATGGGTGCTGTGGGGGTGGGATTTGATGCGATCATGCGATCAAAACGCTCCCTTCCATTCCACTCTCTCCGCCCGTCAACCACCCGCACCGTCTCCCTGACTAAAATACACTCCCCTAACCTCCCCAACCATCCCTCCTCAATCCCCCTTCCCCACCCACCCCTCTCCCCCACAGGGTCCTTCACGGTGCTCAACTGCTACCCATTCTTTTTGTTCAAGGACAGGAACGGGATAGTGAGCTACGACTATGTTTTGAGTCGACTCAAAACCCGCCCTTCCCCAATGATCCCCCGTTTCCCGTCCCCGTCCTCCCACAGGCTCCTTCACGGTGCTCAACTGCTACCTGTTCTTCCCGTTCAAGGACGCGAATGGGAAGGTGAGCTACGACTACGCCTTGTAACGCGGGTACAAGGGCTTCTATGATGGGTGGCGCTACTACCAGAACCTCATGGATGCCATGCTCGACGGCGCCGTGTGGGCCTTTGAGAAGCTCGGCTACCCCGACATGCCGTATATGAGTGAGTGCAACGCTGCATGGTGAGGGGGGCAGATTCAGAGTTGAGTAAGTGCGGTTTCTGGTCCTCTGAATGAGTGAGAGGTGAGGGGGAGAGCCGGGTGAGTGGCGGCGAGCATCAGTGAGTGCAGCGTTGCGTGGTGGGGAAAAGCAGGGGTGCGCAGCGTAGAAGCCATGGTAGTCACCTGTAACCTGCTCGTTTCATTCTCTGCTCTTCTCCTCCGCCCTTGCCTCCCTGCCCAGCTTTGATACCTTTTCCTGTTCCTTCACCATTCCTCACCATCCCATGCGCTCCTTCCTCCTCCTTCTCCCCTCCCCTCTTCCCCACCTCCCTCCATGCAGTCGGAGAGGCAGGGTGGCCCACAGGGGGCAACTCAGCAGCTACGCTCCTCAACTCCAAGCGCTGGACCACGGGCTTTCTAGCCCGCGCCAACTCCCTTCGCGGCACGCCCAAGCGCCCCGACATGTCCATCCGTGCCTTCCTCTTTGAACTCTTTGACGAGGATCTCAAGGACACCTCCCGAGCCAGTTTGAGCTGCACTTTGGTTTGCATTATGCTAACGGTATGAGCTTGATCTGCTGGGCACGGGGAGCAATCTCCCGCCGTCGAAGCCGCCAAAGATGTGGTGCGTGCAGATTCCGACGGCTTCAGATGTAGTGGTGGGCGGCAGGGTGTCGTGGGCATGTTGGAAGGGAGGGGGAGGGTTGGACTGCGCGAGGGTGGGGAGTAAGTGCGGCGCGGAGATGAAGGCGACTGCGGTGTACAACGCATGGTTCCAGAAGCAGGGGCAGACGAGCGAGGCGTGCGACTTTGGCGGCACGGCGCAGGTGACTATGAGGAACCCGTCCAAGGGGGCTTGCCAACTGCATGGGCGGCTACTGGGGGTCAAGTGACGAGGTCACTTTTGAGTCGACTCAAAAGTATCTTATCACCTTGATGTGGAATCCGTCCAAGGGGCACGTGCCGTTTGCAGGGGTGGCCACCGGGGGTGAAGTGACAAGCTGGGGGGTGCAGGCCGGGGTGTGGCGGCATGGGGATACAGGGAGGGTGATTAATTTACCACATGTAAGGTGTGCCAAGGTAGCAATAACGAATCCGTTCAAGGGGGCTTGCCAGCTGCATGGGCGGCCACTGGGTGTGAAGTGACGAGAGGTCGGGTGGAGGGATGAGCGGCGGCGATAAGGGAACATGCCAAGTGCATGGGGAATTCCTGGAGCATGGGGTTGAAGCAACGAGGAGGGGGAAGTGAATCACCTGATTAGACTGCAGTGATGTCTGCAGGACTGAGAATCTGCAAGTGCACATAGAGTGCACAGCCGATCTAATATATTGTTCTAATTTTTTTTTTTTTTTTTTTTTTTCGAATTCCGGAATAGACGTGTCACGTTAGGATCCACATTCATGGTACGTTACGATTCTTCCTAATGGTTACCGTATGCTGTTCCCAGAGGATCACTGTGTGGCCCATCAAACAGCTGCCAGTTAAACAAGGACCAAAGGAAACACGGTAGTGGAGGCGAGAGAGTTTCAAAAATTTGATTCCAGTCGAGGATTTGAAAGAGATACCTACGATCAGGGCATAATACTGGTTTTAGGCACTCTTAGTCATCAGACCTGAACATCTAGTTAGTCACGAATTTCAGACCTGGAATTTTTGTTTAGTGTAAAGAATTTTCTCGCCATTCCTTACCGCGATGATCACCATCGCGTACAGCAGCGCCCGTTGTTCGCCCGTTAATGCTAAGGGGGCTTCGTCAACTTCGCGCGCACTGTTTCACCAAACCTTGCACTGCTGGAGCAGCCGAGTCGGCCTACGCTTCGGGACTAGCCCGAACCTCGCTGCCAGCGTAGCACTAGCTAGCTCGCACGTACTAAGTTACCGTTTACATGTTTCGCCTATAAGTATTCGCTCATGCCTTCGCTCATACTTGTACTCGTTTGACACCTTAGTGTAATCCTCCCCACCTCCATTCATTGCACCCGTAACACTTGGTTATCAGAGCCACTTTCTTTTGGACTGCGCATCTCCGCACCCCAGGAAATCAACTTGTGATTTTTCACTCGAAGGGACTCACGCCCCTAAGCACCTAGGAGCCGCTGTCCTCGCGTTCTCTCGTAAACACGTGTAGCCACGATTGCGCCTAGACTAAGCTGAGCCGACGCCCTTTGCCATGGCTGAACATATCGACGTCACTACGCTCACGCAGGACCGTTTGAACGAGCTGCTGCGACAACTTCATGAAAGCTCCGAAGTAATCGCGGCACTGACGGTAGAACGCACGCCCCTGCAGAATGACGTCACACGAGCACACCAAGCACAATCACAAGCACCTGCCACTCTGGTACAACCCGCACCACAGACATCGCAGCACAGAAGTGTGGGGCAACTCGCGACCGCGGCGAGTGATGGCGTCGTCCGCAACGACGGAGACGATGACCACGGCACGACACACCCCGAAGCGACAAATGCGGCCACGAGTCAACCCCGCATCACGATTTCTGAGCCGGCCGGCGAATCAACACTGCACTCGCCGATGCTGCTGAAGCCGCAGCGTCCGCCATGCTTTGACCCGAGTCAACGGGGTGGACCTACCGTTCAGGCGTGGATGTTCACGTTGAACGTTTTCTTCGACGCCAACTACGTCTCGGAGGATACGGTGAAAATTCGCTACGCCGTGTCGCTGCTGTGAGGACCCGCCATGGACTGGTGGTGTGTCATCGTCACGAAGCCGATGGACTACGTGACTCTACCGCGGCACGGGAAGGACAAACGGGACCCTGGGCGCCGTCGTATTTCGTGGAGGTGCCCCAATATCGCACGTGGGACGTGTGGTGCACAGGTCTGCATGCTCGATTTGAGTCCATTGCAGCTTTGATCGCGGCGCGTCGGAAGCTCTGCACTTGGCGCCAACTCGGTTCCGTCCAAGATTACACCAGCGGGTTTCTGGCCTTGTGTGAGCAGGTGGGCTACATGCACGAGTCTGAGCGCATCGACCGCTACATCGGCGGCCTGAAGCACGACATTGCTCAGGAAATCCAGCTCTGCGGTGTCACCGATTTTCAGGAGATTCTTGCTATGGCGGAGAAACTCGATTTCTTCTGCTGACCGAGACCGGGTTCCTACGGAAATAGCAGCAACTAGGGGCATTGGTCTCGTGGGACGAACGAGGGCGCTACGATATGTGCCGTCGCCGCGAATGCTACTGCCGCTGCGGAGATAACTACTACAACGGGAGCTAGACTACGGGCTAGGCACGGGTGATCGTGTGATCTCTGCGTTCGTTGGTTCTTAGTCGTTTTCTTAGTGCTCACACTGCTTGCTAGTTCACGGAGCAATTTGGCAAGAGTTTCACTAGAGAAAGTTGACAACAATGGTACAATCAAGTTGGCATGGCAAGACTTAATCAGAGCTAGCATTCAGGTCGGTCGACTGCCAGCACAGCATGGTCGACCGCGTTCCAGCACGACTTGGTCGACCGCGCTCCAGCAGTGCAAAGTCGACAACGTGCCAACGCTGCAGGTTGACGGCGTGCCAGCGTTGCTCCCGTAGAACAGCAGCGCACCTACTTCGCAGGTGCTTGTTGATGATTGGAGGACTAAGCCTTGTCACCTGCACAGCGCACGCACCAAGTCATCTTCGTGCTGACGGCTCCACCTGATCCGCCACGTCGACCTCGGGATACCACCACCGAGGTCGGACTAACCAACGTTGCCTGGGCGACCGTCGCACTCCTTCGCAGAACCTCATCACCCAGGTATCCTGGTCGACTGGGCAACCATGTCGACCAGCTGCTCCTGTATGTGCTCGTCGACCTCCCAAGTCGACGACCACACCAAGTCGACCTCACCAGGTCGACCACTCCTCTGGTCGACCAGCTCCAGGTCGACGTCACTCCTGGTCGACCAGTGCAGTTGTCAGCCGACCACCCAAGTCGGCCACCCAAGTCGGCTACCCAAAGTCGGCGTCACCAAGTCGACGCCCCTTCTACGTCGGCGACCTCCCAAGTCGGCGACCTTGCAAGTCGGTGACCTTGCAAGTCGATGACCTTGCAAGTCGGTGACCTGGCAAGTCGGTGACCTGGCAAGTCGGTGACCTGGCAAGTCGGTGACCTGGCAAGTCGGTGACCTGGCAAGTCGGTGACCTGGCAAGTCGGTTTCCTGGCAAGTCGGTGACCTGGCAAGTCGGTGACCTGGCAAGTCGGTGACCTGGCAAGTCGGTGACCTGGCAAGTCGGTGACCTGGCAAGTCGGCGCCGACTTCCTGGTCGACGTGCCACATCGCCGACCACCAGTTGAAGTCGGCTTCCCAAGTCGGCGGCATTGCAGTGGGACCGTGCAAGTCGACCAACCCCGTCGACCAGCTCGCCCAAGTCGGCGTCGCCCACTGCTGCAAGTCGGCTGTACCTTCCGTACACCCCACCACGAAGTCGGCTCCGCCCAAGCGTGGACGGGGCCAACACACAACTCCCGTTGACACTCCCCTGCCGCGTTCACGCTTGGCCCCCCCCCCAAGTCCACTCGGCAGTGCTCCTCGGAGAATAGCTCGTCGACGTGCACCCAACACACAGCACGTCGTCCACCGCACCAGCCATGCAGGAGGGCATGGCACCTACTGCTGCACGTCGTCATCTTCGTCGCCCACGTCGGCCAAGCGCACCTGGCCGATGGCGACGGAGCATCGGTTGAAGGCCGGATAGTGCAGCGCCTTCGTCAGGAAGTCGGCCGGCTGCTCAGTGGTCGGGATGTACCTCAGCGAGAACTTCCCGCGCTTCACCATGTGCTGCAGCCAGGCCTGTCGCCGCTCCATGTGCTTGAGGTTGCCCGTCAACCCCATGCCCCCGGCGACTGTGATGGCCGACTTGTTGTCCACCCGAAGGACGGTCGGCTTCCCGGAACTCTGCAAGGAGGAAGCGAAGTCGGCGTCCTTCCTTGCTGGCTTCGGTGGCTGCCACGTACTCCGACTCAGTCGACGACAACGTCGCGCACTTGATGCGCTGGCTCGACCAGGAGACTGCGGCCCCTCCATAGACGAACACGTAGCCACCTGTGCTCGTCCTGTTCTGCTTGTCACCGGCGTCGTCGGCGTCCACGTAGCCGACCAGCTCCAGCGACTCAGGTCCACCGCCGAACTCCAGGGCGGTGTCACGCGTGTTGGCAAGGTAGGCGAGGCAGCGGTCGACCTCGCGCCAGTGCTGGTCGCTCCTCACCGTGAGGCCGCTCCCCAGCTTGCTGCAGGCGAAGGCGATGTCCGGCCTCGTCGTCGTCGCCGCGAACTGCAGCGAGCCGACCTTCTGCCGGTACTCCTCCTCCTGTCGTTCCTGTGCCTCCTCGTCATCGAACGTGAGCTCGGCGTAGGCATCGACCGAGACCGGCGTCTTCGGGGTGCGCCCGGTCTGCTCTTCATCGATGAAGTGCCTACGCAGCTTGTCGGCGTAGCCCTGCTGGTGCAGCCACAGCTTCCCCGCCGACCTGTTGCGGACGATCTCCAGCCCGAGGTACTTCTGCACCGGCGAGATCTCACGTAGCGCGAAGGCGGACTCCAGCAGCTCCTTCAGCTCCTTCAGCATCTCGGTGCTGCTGCTGGCGGCAAGCAGGTCGTCGACGTAGACCAGCACCCAGCAGGCCACTCCGTCCTCTCCGACCTTGAAGTAGAGAGCTTCATCGACCTGGCTCTTCTTCCACCCGGCGCCGACCAGCACGGTGTGGAGCGCCAAGTACCACAGCAGCGGCGACTGCTTTAGCCCGTATAGGCTCTTCAGCAGCTTGCACACCCGGCCGGTCCCGTCGTTGAAGTAGTCCGGCTGGGACATGTAGAGCACCCTGTCGAGCTTGCTCTGCAAGAAGGCGTTCTTCATGTCGAGCTGCATCAGGTTGAGGTTGCGGACGGCGACGAT